ATCATTTTCAAAATTTCAATCATCCCCAATTCTTCAATATTATTGACACTGGTGACACAGAGTGATATCCACAATTATTGGGTGAATCAAAATAAAAATTGAGTTTGATTCATCCAGAGTTCTTGTAAGCATATCTTTATTGAAAAAAATATTCATTTAGTGTAAATATTCATTACAAACAAGATAGGTTCGGCTATTACTCAGAACATCGATAATATTGCCATTTCACTTTTACCCAAGGTAAATGACAAAAAAAAGAAGTATTCTTCTTCTTATCAGGACCTAGCTGAAGTACGGGCTGAAAAATAACAAGATAAATTATTGTAATCGCACAAAACAAAAGAACGGTTCATGATAATTAGTTTCAAATCATGAAAGTGGTGTTCGTGACACATTTTTGATATTGTGATTAGTGAACGCACGTCATCAACAGCTATCAAGAATATTTGTTTTTTCGTGATTTTGAATGCCTCCTAACTACAAAGTAACTACATAGGTTCCCAGACATTTTATTAAGGGAGTTCATTTTTTACCATGTTCAGTAACAAATGACAAGAGACAACAGTGAAGGCAACGTTATTTCTAACCAAGAGAGACAAGTTTGAACCACAGCTTTCATTATGATTGTATGATTATACCTTTTTGAATTTTTGTTGAGATTTCTATCTGAATTTGGTAGGTAAATATGACTGATCTCGGAAATATGCAAAGGATTTTTATTTGATATTTTATCATTACTGAATTTGATTTGAAGACATCAACTGGATTTGAATACAATCCATTCGAAAACAAAACTAACAACCTTATAAGCTTTGTAAACTTGGTGAAATGGAAACGGAAGATCAGGAACTTTTGAAGCTACAAAAAAAGCTATCAAAATCATTCATATCTTTATCAAATATGTGTCAGACATTACAGAAAAAATCCAATAAATACCTGTCTGAGTTGAAGAATGATATCAAGCCTGATGTGAACATAATGCAAGAGGCGGGAATTGGGTTAATACATATGATGAAAATGATGAAAGAAAATATTTCCTTTCATTTAAATTCCTTAGAAAATGATGTGAAAGAACTGGATCACAAGTATAACCCAATGGTGAAAGATATACTCGATGAACTCTCATATTTCAAAACTTCTGTTGTAACTTTGGAAAATGATTCAGGATACATTTTTTCAAGAGCATGTGAGAAAAAAACCGTGACAGAAGAAAGTGTTGGAATGCTTGATAGCTTGCTTTCATTTTCTACCAGTGACATAGATCAAACACAATCCTTGAATAATTTATTATTGACTGATGCAAATCATTCAGGAAAGGCCTTGTCTTCACAGAGCTGTGCTTCGAAAAAATCAGATGCAATTTTAATTTGCAGTGAAGTTGATACTGAAATGGGATGTTGTGCCAAAGATTGCAATTCCATAATATCAGGAAATACTTCTAAACGGAGTGTCGAACTGGGCAGTGACTCTAATAAACAAGGTGTAATTTCAGCCAGTGGTTCTCTTTATAGTAATTCAGGTTGCTCGTCAAAAGGAAACAGTTCTACAAATTCAGCAAAGAAGTTCAATTTAAGCCTTATACCTATTGAAGGAAGTGATGGACAAGACACTGATGATTCCTGGAGAGATACCCTCAAATACAGCCCTACAGCAGGTAATGAAAAAATGTTGAAATCCTAGTTGTAGTAATGTCAACCTGACTATTAAAAATGGACATGTTGCAGGAGGTCTATATATAACTGTATCATTTAATGTATTGTTATTATTGATTAATATATTTATTGAAAGAATATTAAGAGCTCCAATGTGTTCTACTTTATAATTGTAGGCGATATTACTTTATATGAATACAATTATTCCATCATTTTGGTTTAAAGTTGGTCATAACAATTAATGTGAAAGGATCATGCTGAATTTATTCGAGTAGATCACCTGCAGACCGGTTTCAAGGTATTAACTCTCATCAGTGCAGGAAAGATCCGACCCAAACAGCAAAGTGTCTGGAACTCGATTACAAACATTACATGTACCATGTACAGCATTTTACTGCTATAAGAAAAAATCTGCTCACTGCTATCATGTATGTATAACATGTTCTGGGGTATTTCATACCAGTTGTTCGCAGAGAACTAGGTTCGTTACCTACTTAGACGGTTTTAAAATAATCTGCAAGAGCTGTAACATCAGTGAAAATAATGACCCAATTTCGGACCCTAATAAGTATGAAATTGAGAAGTATTTTATCAAAAATAGATGAACTGAAAAGTGAACTCATAATGAAAAACGACATAATTGAAAAAATTACCCAAAAACATAAGATGTTTTACGAAGAAGCAATTGATATGAAAAACGATCCACTAAATAAGGTGGAGCTACTGCGGAACAATAATCGTGAACTTGAAGTCCAAATAAAAAACCTCAGAGATAAGAAAACAACAGATAAGGCCACACCAGTTTTTGCTGATGTCCATTCCCAGACGGAGCAAGAAAATCACAAAATTCAAAGAAAATCTGAATTAGACATGATTAATGCATCAACCCAAACAATCAAACTGACTACGATTCTTGTTGATATCCATTCCCTGTCGGAAATAGGGAATTCTGAAACAAAAAACCTAACTAGTATGAACATGAATAAAACAACAACACAAATCATTAAACTGAATACATTGTTGACAGTTATAAATATATCCATTGAAACTATGGAATCTACAACTGAAGAGCTTAAAGATGGACCATGGAGCTCTTATGGTCAACCACTTTCGTAGTCGGAATACCCTTCTGAGGTCATCTTTGAAATCGTAAACATTGCAGATTTGAAGAAACCACTCTTACCTTGTTTTTTCGAAGGCACCCTCAGCAAATATATCTACTTTGTTGCAGTATCCATGTCACTGTAAATACTGTCACTTATCGTTTTTTATAGAGGGTGTTCCATAATTTGGTTGATATGCGATATTTTTGTCATGAGAAGAGTTGCAGAAATAAAGCAGTCAGTTTGAAGAGACGATGTCAGTTTATTCGCTTCACATTGTCGCTGCTGACAAGAACAACATCTCCAATTTTTAAACTACCTATTTTCTCCTTTGACTAGTAAAAGAGTTCCGCTAGATACTCTTTTATGAATTGGCTTCGGAAGCCATCTCTTATCTTTTGCAGGTATCTATGTCGTTTAACTAAATGATGTCTGTCTATGATATCGAAATCTGGAGTGTCACTGGTAGATATATCCGAAATAAACATAGAAGGACTGAGAGGTTTTAAATTATCTTCATCCGAAATATAAGTTGAAGGCCTTGCATTAATTATGGCTTCACAATCGCATAAAGTCGTCATCAATTCTTCACATGTTAAAGTTGCTTTCCCTAAGTTTCTACGAAGTAATTTCTTAATTACTCTGGCCATGCGTTCCCACTAACCGCCCCAAGCGGCTGTTGGAGGATTTTGATGCCACTTGATTTTTCTAACTGTAGAGTAGTCCATAACTTCATTCCAGTCTATCTTCAAATAATATTTTGCTCCACTGAAATTCGTTCCGTTGTCAGAATATATAATTATAAATCGCCTCAGTGATGATAAAAATGCGTCTGTTGATAGAGATTTCACCAGTTCCAGATGCACTGCTCGATATACTGCACAGGTAAACAGTATGATCCAGAACTTCTTTCCCCCTTTCAAGTACAATGGTCCAGCTAAATCTACTCCCCTTATCTCAAAAGCGGACACATTGTTTATCCTACCTTTCGGTAGTGGAGCAAAAGGTGTATTTATGCATTCACTTCTGAATCGTTTGCATTGGACACATTTTTCTAGCACTTCTTCAACAAACTTCTTTCCCTTGAGAACTGCAACAAAGCATCCACTGAATTTAGTAAATACTGTCAAGAAAATGGCCTAACATTGAATGCAGAAAAGACGAGATATATGCGATTTCTACCAAAAAATATGACATTTGATTCCAATCCTCATTTACATATTGACAACAAATCTATTGAAGTCGCTGATAAAATGAAATTCCTTGGGGTAACATTAGATCCAAAGCTCACTTGGGAAACGCACGTGAACACAGTAACCACAAAACTAAGTTCTCTGTGTTATGTAATCCGAAATATAAGAGACACATTATCACCCCATGTATTAAAGCTTGTATATTATGGATTGGTGCAGTCAACTATTCAGTATTGCTTAATATTTTGGGGTTCATCAACACATCTCAATAGAGTTTTTACAGTCCAGAAACGAATATTACGAGCCATGCACAAAATGACCCCAACATCATCGTGTAAAGAGGTTTTTAAAAAAGAAAATATTCTAACACTACCAAGTTTATATATTCTGCAACTTATAATGTATGTCAAAGAAAATAATCAAACATTCAAAATAAACGCTGATTTACACTCTTATAATACATGAAACAAATTAAACATTCACCAACCTTTTTCACGCTTAGAAATTGCACAACATGCTCCAAAACACATAGGAGTTAAATGCTATAACAAGTTCGGTGACATATTGGATACAGACAAAACTCTAGAGTCAAAAAACATTTTAAACTTTAAGAACAAACTTGAAACATTTTTAGCAAGTCATGCTTTTTATGACATAAATGATTTTTTAAATTTTAGATGTAATGTAGATTGAATGTATTAGTGTAAGTCTCGAATTATCTTAAAGTGCACCCTTTGTATTTTAAACTGTTTGACTAGTCCGATAAATCTATGTAATTTTAATTATGTGGATTTCACGATGAATAAAATTAATGTTAGATGTTAATGTTAATTAGAGAAATGTAATTATTTCATCCACTCTTTCAAATTTATCGATTGTGTCACTTGGTAATTCTTCATCCCAACCAATTTTTAGTGTCCATGTTAACTGTAATAACAGTTTCGGAATCAACGTTACTGGACATGTGAAACCAATGGGTTCAAAGATCTTTTGATCACTTGACAATAAACCCCGTTTCGTTTTAGGTGTAATATTCAAATCAATGAGACTGGACAAATCACAATATAGAACATCTCTTTCAGAATCCCATGAAATATCTAAAACAGACACGTTTCTTTCATAGGAAAAGTCGCCAGCAGAATTATACGATGAATTATATACCCATTGTCTGCGGTTGAATTTTCCAATCGACATTAGCTTTTCTGATTGACTAATTAAAGCGGCCAATTCTTCAATATTATTGACACTGGTGACACAGTTGTCGACGTGAAACGATGTTTTCAATTCATCAGGAGTATTTTTCAAATGAATTGGTGCCCTATGCAAATGATGATTGATAGTCGCACCTAACAAAAAAGGGCTAGGTCACAAACCAAAAACTACTCGACAGTGCCGGAAGATTTTCTTTTCGGTTTTTGATTCATCTTTTCACCAAATAAACCTCAAATTGTCCCTTTCATTGGGATCAACATCAATTTGCAAAAATGCTTTTTCTATATCAGATTCAACTCCTATTAGTCTATTCTGAATTTTATCAACAATGAAAGAATCAATTCTAACAGATTAGGACCTTTTTCTAAACATGTATTTAGTGAATTTCCGTTATTATCCTTTGTTGATGCATCGAATACCGGCCTAATTTTAGTAGTGATACTGTTTTCTTTAATAACGGCCTATCAATAACTTGGCCTATCAATTGAATTTCCCCTAACTACTTCTATGATACCTTATGATTCCCATTCTGCAAAAACCTTACTACAATCTTCAAATTTTCCTAAACTAATTTTTTTTTGTTGAAGACAATATTCTAAGCTTCAGCTATTTCTTTGTTGTTAGAAAGTTTTGGATGACCTTCTTTCCAAGGAAGATTTACTTAATATCTACCATCATCTGTCTGCAAAACTGTTTCTTTAAAATACTATTTCGTTCTAAAATCAATTTCTTTTGGTGTGGTATTTGCGGGCTCCTTTATACCAAAAACATCCAATTCCACAAATCAGCAATAGAAAAATCAGTAAAACCGGAAAAAATACGGTTGTTACTTGGGTTATAGACTTGTTATCCTATTATAGTCGATTCAAGATACGTTTCTAAGGCAACAAGTCCATATTTCAAAGTTTTAATATGACTAATATCACATAAAGTAATGCTTTTATTTTTCAAAAAATCTATAACAGCTAAATCTAGCAATCTAGGTATTACATATCTTTTTCTATTCCAATACTGATAATTGGCATGAGAAGTCATTTTTAATGTCACTTATTGCGATATCGTATATATAATGGAGATTAGGAGATGATTGAAAACCACCAAAAACACCTTGTATGTTTTCCTCTCCTGAGGGCTTAAAATTCAAATCTTTTGCATACTTCGATAAAATATATTTTCTTTGAGAACCGGAAAACAGCAAAGCCCTGACAAGTTTCTTTTAATGATTATATTTGTCACTTTTGACAAGGACAGTTTGTAAGAGTGTGCCGGTTGAAAAATTACTTGTCAAAACATTTTCCAATTTTTGTTTGGATCTGGTTGAACCTTTTTTGAATCTAAATCACAGCACATTATTGGAAAATCCACTTTTATTTGTAACTAACGTTACTGCAGTTTCGTCCTATACGGACATTTTCAAACTTATACAATAAACTAACAATGATTCATTACATTCGCCCCTGTAGGTACTAATAGAAATAGAGGTACTTGACTTGATTGAGTACCTGAATTTACAGTTCACAATGCGGATGTGCTAATTTAAAAATCGGAGAGTATATTAAATCGATTTGATTATTTAACAGGTTACACCCACAATGTTTATGCTTGTGAATTTCCAAGGATTCTAAATAATTGAGTTTACAACCCTCCCTTGCATTGTGCAGAATTTCCGTATCGTTTAGATTTGGAAACTTGTGGTTGCATGCCAAGGAATGAGATAACCTGGCATGTGGTCTGAATGCTACTTCCACATTGTTTTTTCTGTTTTTTCCAAAATATGTTAGCGTTTCCCATTTCTTGATTTCTGGTTGTTTGACCTGAGGGTATATTAATCTGTAATACCCTGTCACACCTAATGACTCTAACGCTCGTAATTGAGTCTCCAATCTATCGTATAAAGATGATAATGACATACCTGACTTATTTTTGTTTACATGGTAAAGAACTAGGTTCAGTAACTCTCTCACATAAACCTCAATCAGAAATTTGTCTCTAGCGAACCGTACTTTCAACTGGTCAAGTGTTTTTTTGTAGTTTGCGCCGGATGGAGGAAAACTTTCCACAAGTTCCCGTGCTGGTTATCCCTGTTCCGTTGCCTGCACTAAATACTGAAACTTGTCTTCTAAATCGATGTCTTTATCCTGGTCTATCTTTTTAAACCGTTCCCAGAACTTCATCCAGCTTTTCACATTTCCGTCTAATTTGATCAGCTCTAACTTTGGCAATCGGAATTTTCGATTGATTTTTTCACCGTAAGAAATTTGTGAACTGATTCCACAATCTGCTCGCATCTGATTATCTGCCAATCGGATCTCGCATTCAGATTTATATTTGATTACTTCTGCTCTATAGAACTCCATATCGTCGAACTCTTATTGAACTTCGGCATCTTTGAACTTTCCGAAAAATAACTACACCTTGAAGGTCTCATCAGTGGTGAATATTCGATCACTCTTGTCTTCCAATTGTCTCAAGAGTGATAGTATTTGTGCCTTACTCGTTTGCTTCGTACTCAAGGCTACATCTAGCTCGCTGGTAGTATTGCAAAAATGTCTTCGCAGTTGCTCTCTTTCTTTCTGCATAATATCCATCGTCAATAACTTAGTCTGGCCGTACACGGACCACATATTTGCAGTTGAGGCAACCACAACATTGTGGTCACGTTGACTGCACTTCGCGGTTGACCCTACCACATTTTTGTAGTCGACTTGCGGTCATATAAACCGCACTTGCAGTTGAGGCAACTGACATCAAAAATTGAATGCTGTGAGACCAATATGAGAAAAAGTACACCACGGTGTACGCGGTTGGGTACGACTGCAAGTTTGTGGTTAGTGTACGGCGGATGCCGCGATGAAATCTCGGCGGAGATCAGCAGCAAGTGACTGCAGACGTCTTAAAATCTTCTCACTAACAAACTTGATTTAACTGAGAATATTATCAAACATCACATAAACTAAATATAAAGTCTATATATAGAGGGAATGATAGAAACATACATTCTAAATCTAACAGATCCACTTTTCATCACACGTGTCGATCCGATCCAAAAAAAAGGGTCGTTTTGGTTGCGCAAAAGGAAAGAACAGAAACGTGATAATTTCTGTCGGTCGTTCTAATCGTATGGCATTAATTTTTCGACCTTTTTAATTTTAACAATACGTTTTAAACCATCAAAAACCTCATGGGAGCTGATGCCCAGTTCTTGCGCCATCCCACGCTCCGTTTGGGATGGGTCAGTTTTCACCAGGGTCCTCAAATCCTCGTTCTGAATTACAGTAGGTTGACCACTTCGGGGCTCATCTTCGAGGCTAAAATCTCCAGAACGAAAGTTCACAAACCATCATCGAACAGTGCATTCATTAATACTATCATTGCGAAATGCCTGGTAATTTTTCAGGCTGTTTCGGTAGCGCTTTGGTTCAATTTGAATTCGTAGAGAAATATTGACCGAAAATCGCTTAACGGCATTATATAGTAATAGCTGAAAAGAGGCAAACATTTATAATTTGGAAAAAATGAACAGCATCAATGTATAGAGAACAAAATTCTGTATCGATCAGTATATCACACGTCACAGTAAAATAAATATTTATTTTGATATGGAACTACAAAAAAAGATGACGGACAAAACATTTGAAACAACCTAATGTATTTGCAGTTGTAATTCTGATTATTTCCTGATGCGAGAAAATATGTAGTTATAGTGTCGTTTTTAAATTCCAGTTAAAACTAAATCATCACCAAAACAAGAAAGCAGAGAAAGTGAAGAAGATACATATGATGTGGAAACTGTTGACTGGAACTATGAGACGGAAAATACACCTGATGACATCTTTGAAGGTGGGTACTTAGTGTTTTGAATTTTCATTCAATCTGAGATTGTTTAATTTAGTTGTTTGGATTATCAAACAAATTTTTAAATAAGTCAGGAAATTCACAGGTTATTGATACATATGATTAATATTAAAAGAATGATCAGATTCTGCAAATTGTAGTTATGGTAGATTTAGATTTTCACTATTTTGAATTAGGTGAGGAATAATCTCTTCCAGATGAATGGATTCATTTTTTATAAGCTCTTATTTAACTTGCAATGTTTATGTTAGCTATGTTATACTTTTTCTAATGTTGAAAATCACTGATTTTGTAATTGATTCTCCTGCTTTATATATTGAATTCATCAATCCTATTTTGAGTATACTGGGATTTTCACCAGTTTTTATTATTAAATGGAATGAGCGCATAAGTGGTCATGCTATATATAAATGTGTTACTAATATACTGTTTTCAATATTTCTCAAGTAATACTATTGATAACTGGTGATTTGTTTATTTTCAAATTGGATGTAATATTCTTATGATTATACATATACATAAACAATATATACATTGGGCGTTACCTCTTCTTTTACCATACTATAATCTTTCTCAAAAACATTATTGTCATGCAAATTTTATTTCTTGAATATAAAAATTGAAAAATGAAATATCTATCAGTTATACAAATTTTCAAATAATGGAAACTGTTTTTCAGATGGACATTGCACACCAAAAAAAGGAAACATCAAGGAAGAACCAGGTATGTATTGTAAATCAATATTGATTGGATTAAATTGGACGTTTATTTTAATTTTGGGGCAAAGGGAATTTACTTCAAACATCATGAGCGGCATTGTATCTTCTTCTAATAATAATACGGTAATAAAAATAGTATCCCAATGACAGCATAAATACAACTAAACAATGAGAATAACCTATGGGGTTTATAGATTAGGTTCTCTCAAAATATTTTCGATGGAATGAATATTCATATTGCATTTGTGAAAAAATGATGTGGAGGTTATAGCTATGCAAACAAAAAATACATTTCTGGATTAATGAAGATTTAACCATCAGTGGCTGAATAGAGCAGATGGTACTGTTCAAACCTCAGCAATCTTTGATGCTTTATAAAGCTCTGATCAGACCTTCTTTGGAGTATTTTTCTCATGTATGGAGCTCCGCCCCTAAGCATACCCTGAAGCTGCCGAGTTTCATCCAGGAAGGAAAAATCCGCCTGATTGGAGGCACGAACATCACTCTCAACCTTGATAGTCTGGAAGTTTGGAGACTTGTCTCTCTTCTATACATACTTTCACAGGCAGTGTTGAAGTGACTTGCCACATTTAATTCCACCAAGAGCGGTACATATCAGAAACACGCGACGGACTGTGACTACTCATCATTCTGAGATTCAACTTAGTACACCGCGAACTTTACTGTTTAAGAACTCTTTCATTTGGAGAACTGTGTTCAAGTGGGATAAACTTCCTGAGAAAGTTTTTTTCAAATGGATTTAATCTCCACCGATTCGAATACAATGTGTTTCGCTACTTTCGCACAGGCACCGCTCTTAGAGCGCCTTAAGGATTTTCCTGTAGTGCTTGTGTTTTGTCCTTAAAAGAAAACTATCAAAAGGGTTTAATATTAATTCTAAAACGTCATTACAAATTAGATGAATAAATGGAACTGAAACTCAATGTACATTAACTGGTTAACATATTGAAAGAAATTTCACTAGTTCGGACTTCCATTGTCTACTATATAAAATGATTTGAAATCCCTGAAACAACTAAAAAAGAAGAATTGAAAATGAATAGCTGAAATGCTGAAAACTGAAATGAAATAATAGTGAAATAAAATACAAGTAAAAATAGAACGATTGAATAAATAAAAATAAAGAAATGAAAATAAAAAGTGGAGAGATTCCAAGTCACGTTAGTTCACGACGTTTCGATTGTTAGTATCTACAATCGTCTTCGGGTGATGTCATCACCGTTAAGATAAAATAATGTAAGATATTTATTCATCTTCAAAAATTTTTACAGAAAACAGAATGTTACAATAGTCAGACAACAGTTTTTTGTTTAGGTACGTCACAATATTGTAGAAAGTATTCTCAAACTAAAAAAATATTTAATAATGAAAAAATACGTTAGTGTATCAAAAATTAGATATTTACATATATAAAACCAGTCACATATATGAACAGTTTTAACTTTAGAGGCACATCGATGGAAAACACAGAAACATTAATCACAAAATCTGTAGTCCACACTCTTGACGAGCAAAAATATAAGTATTTAGACCCATTAATGAAGAAAAATTTCATTTATATCATATTATGACACATTAATTAACTGTCTTAAACAAATTTACTTCTAATATTTCACTAATCACAAACTAATTTATTTACAACACTTATCAACTAACGCTTAATTTATTTCCACTATTTGAATTCCTTGTTTAACCGCTCGATTCACTTTCTGAACTCCACTGCCTTCTTGGGACGAGAAGCCGTTGTGTTCTGTTGCCCAAATTGGTCATAGTTCTTATAATTTTCTTTTCGCTCACCAATAGTTGACGACAAACCGGGCTTGTTCCCCACAATAGAACCTCATATACAAGATGGCAATATACCATGCCATAGTAAACAGTCTTCAATACTTCGCTAGATAGTCGAGCGCTTGCCGATTTTTTGTGAAAGAGATGTTCTTTGTTTTATTTTTGTTTATGGACATAACGTTTGAATTTGAAAAGATTTCCATATTCAATAATGTTTCCTCTGACTTACATTCTATCACGCTTGAGTTTTCGTCCTGTAACAAAAGGGTGGAGTCATCCTCATACATAAAAACATAAGCAGCATCAATAAACGTTGGTGAGTTTTTTATGTAAATAATGAACAATAGGATACCTAGCACTGAGCCCTGAGGCACCCTATGTTTGACTTCTATAGTTTTTGATGTCTTATTATTTAGTGATACATACTTCTGTGTGTCTTTTAGGTATGACTCGATGACATCTAATGCTATTCGGCGTATTCCATATTTGTGGAGTTTTTTCTACAAAATATCATGAGAAACACTATCAAATGCCTTTGGCAGGTCACATAAGATTGCACGTGTATGCATCCCTACATCTTGATTTTTTACTATTGTGTGCACTACATATATCGGTGACAGCTTGAGAGATTGATCTGAGAGAATGAAAACTATACTGATGATCATCTAGGAGTTTTCCCTTTTCTGAAAAATTGGTTGATCTGTCCTTATAATTGCTTCTATTATTTTTGAGATTATAGGAGTTATTGTTATAAATCTGTAGTTGTCACAATTATTAGCATCACCTTTCTTTAGAATAGGGATTGCTCTTCCCAGTTTCAGGTGTGATTGAAACTCTCCCTTTACCAGGAAGATATTTATCAGATGTGCTAAAATTTCAGGGACGAGTTTTATTATTCTGGAACTGATATTGTATACATTCCATAATACTACTATTTTTTAAGGTTCTCAAAAGTGGGTCTCAGGAATACCGAGGTTTTTACATTCATTTTCAAAAGTTCCTCACCTCTCAGATCGGTGGGAGGTATTGTTTTAATAATATTGTCAACCATTGTGGAACTATATTCACTGAATTCATCCGCAGTAAGGCACATGCTTTCACTACTAAAAGTGGATTTTCCTCTGATCTCATTTACTATTTTCCAGGCAGTTTTTGAAACATTTTTACTATTTGTGAGGGCACTATCATACACCTCCCTTTTGGATTTGTTTTTTTTGTATTTTTTTTTGCAGAATTATAAGACTTTTGATTCTGGATTCCCCGTCATTTTATGAATGTTTTTGTTGTTACACCAGAGGGTTTGGAGGGTTGTGTTTGGGGTTTTTGGGATGCCTTAATCTTGTTATTTTCAGATACTATGTTTTCAAGGCCCTTTGTTTGATATTGAGAAACAGTGGGTGCGAGTATTCAATAAGTGGAAGACAGATTAGTTTATATATTTGGCTTCCTGTTGATATGTTTGCACCTGCTCCCAGGTTTGTCAAATTTGTGAAATGTGCGACTCTTGCAATCTTTTTTTTTATGTTATTGACGTGGCTGTTGAAATTTAGTCTGGAATCAAGCGTAACACCTAGGTAATTAACTGTCGATTTTGCATGTAAGATATGTTGGAGAAGTTGCGGAATTCCGATGATTAAATATGATAAACTGAGACTTGGCTGGAGTTTCTATTTATTGAACCAGTTATTTGTTACTGTTGCAAGATGTTCCAAATTGTTAATAACTTTGTCTAGCGTTTGATCTTGCGCAATTAGGGCTGTGTCATCTGCATACTGGAGAATATATGCTCATGCCTAAAGTGGTTGATATTCCTTTGTTGGTGATGATAAATATCATAGTTGTATAAGTTATATAACAATGGTGAGAGCGGTCAACCCTGTGGATAAATTCGTTTGAAAAACTACTCAGTATTTTAATTCTCAGTTTCCTGTCAATTAATAAATTCTTAATTGTATGTACTAGATAGTTAGGACAACCCAGTTGATGCAGTTTGAATAAAAGACCCTTGTGCCAGATGCTATTGAATGTTTTTTCATATCCATAAAGATCTCTGCCGTTTTTTTGTTGTTCAGCTTGGTTGTTTCAATGTTGTTCGTGAGAATCGTGAGAGGATGCATAGTAAATCTTCCTTGTCCAAATCCAAACTGGTAGCTTGGAATTGTATCATTAAGCATTTGGAGTAAACGGTTTCGTAAAAGTTTTTACCAATTACATGCAGGAGAGTAATCAGACGATAACTGTCTGTAAGGGAGTTATCCTTGTTTGGTTTGGGAATTGTTTTTATTGTGCCCATTTTCCAATTGTCAGGTATATAATGCGTTTTAAGGCAAAATTCATAGCTTTTTATGATATATTTGTGTATCTCATAATCCAGCATTCTCAACATGTTTCTTGTGATATAGTCATGCCCTGGAGCTGCGTTGTTTCCCTGATATAAGATTTCAAAATATTCTTCATTTACATTGAATGTAGTATTTTCTTGTACGGGTATCTGCCAAAAGAAGATTTCGTACACATTTTTTGTAAGCTTTTTTGGAAGGTTAATTATATTCAGTATTGTTATCTATAATATCTTTAGTATATACTCCTTCCCTTTTGTAATTGGATAATTTCCGTATTTCATTCCAATAGGATTTGCTCCTCTTTTCATGAATGTCTTCACATATTTGAATCCATTTGTGGGTTCTGTATTCTTGAATCAAATTTTGAATGTTCTTGTTAAACTTATTAATTGAAGCTTTAGACGTTGGATCACTGTTTGCTCTATATTCACGATCACGATATTCAGTATCATCATTTCTGTGTACTATGGTTTATAAGAGCAGCAAATGAAACAGACTTTGATTTTTTCACTTTTGCAACCGAGTTTCAGAAGCAGCTGAATTCGGGGTAGAATATGCAACTTTTGCGAACGTATTTGTGATAGGACAGTAAATTCTGTGATGTATATTTATACATATATGTACACGATTGTTGTGATTGCATTTTTATTCGCCGAACTGTTATATATTTTCTGTGTGTTTCCGTTTTTATCTCAATCGTCGCAAAACGCCGTCTTTTCATGAATCTCTTCAATCTTGGGAACAGGAAAAAGTCGCCGGGGGCGAAATCTGGTGAATACGCTGTCTGAGGAATGATTACAGTTTTGTTTTTGGACAAAAAAAAAACTACGAACAAGTAATGACAAGTGAGCAGGTGAAGGGGATGCAAAAGCCATTAATTGTTTTTTTTCTCACAGAATTAGACGTTATCTTCGTATTGCTTCTCGCAAGCGGAGTATAACTTCAAGATAATACTCCGTATTGACCGTACGGTCATGTGGTAAGAACTCCTGATGCATTATGCCAAGGTAATCAAAGAAAACAGTGAGAAAAACCTTGACATTTGATCGAACTTGATGTGCTTTTTTGGTCTTAGCCCTCCTGGGATGATTGGACTTTGGTTTCGATGTCATATCCATATAGCAATGATTTGTCACCAGTCATGACGTCATTTAACAATTCCTGAGCGATGCTCATGCGACAAACTTCGCTGCCACACGCTACATGCCCAAAATTTCCGAAAAAATTGCATGACATGAGCCAACCGATGTGAGGACATCCTCAGCAGTTTCTCTAATAGTGATACGACAAATCTCCATAACATTTTCTCAAAATTTTCATGGGTTGTTGATGTTCTGGGGCGTCCAGGGCGAGCGTCCTCATTCACGTCTTCTCTGAGCACTCAATTCCATTTTTTATATTCCATGTACACCTATAGGCTCTTATTCTCAATAATATAACAACACCTCTGAGGATTACTTGTAATGAGCAGTTGGCTAGATGAAATATTTCGTTTCATATTTTTTATAGATTTTCCTCAAATTAATTTCAGATATTAGTTTAAAAACTAGACTCTAGGCTAAAACAATGTTTTTATTTAGGAATTTCCTATTGTGCTCAAGTTAAGGGAAAAATAGTGCCCAAGAGCGGTCCATGGTACCGTTTGTCAATTTCTTATATTTTCAAAAATGAAGAGGACACATTGCTGAAGGATATATCCCAAATATTGAGGTCAAGAAGTGTTTTTCGAGGATTGGAAGAAGCTGGCACAAGTGCATAATATTCAATGGGGACTATTTTGAAGGCAACAACAATAATGTATAGAAATAAATTTTTTTTTTTTCAAAAAAATGTAAATTGTCTTTTAGTTAAAATGGACAACTTGCAAGATATTGAATTTTATGTACCTCCAAGTATTTTGTCAACTTTTCTATAAAAAAATTAAGGCTAGAAATAATTGAGATAAACAGATTTTATGATATAGTAGCAAAATATATTAATCAGTCCAGTAATAATGACATTTATTTCAACCTCTTGAACGACTCATGAATTTTCACTAGTATACTTGTTGGAATTGGCAACTTAAAAGTTATTATTTCATCTGGTATCTTCAATTCGAAGTGACAGTTTAATAACAGCATTATTATGGACTAATCTTTCAGATTTTAAGGAAGAACGAAGTATCTATCTGAAATCCGAAGAAGTGGATATGATTTTCACTGAAGGTAAAGTAATTTATCTATATCTTTAATTGTTTTATTCAGAACGTAGAACATTCGTAACAGTTTGATATAATGAGAAAATGATAAAATATCTTGGGAACTAAGTAACTGAATGAGAGGGCCAGCTACAGGTATAGTTCTAATGATTGCTACCTAAATGAATTTTTCTATGTTTTTTTTTAAACACAAACAAAGGCTAAGTAATCAATTTGTATTCAATAAAACATATTCGTTTGATGAAAATATATGAGGGTGTTATTGTGAAAATAGTATTGATGTTGAGCCTCCTGAGTGTGATTTAAAAGGAGATGCCAAACGTTATTGAAACCATTTTAATTGTAATAGTGTAATTGAACAATATTGAATAAAAAATTAAGTGAAGTTCTAGAGATACTAATAGAAAATAAGTTGAATGTTTGTAAGTTTTGATTTTGAGAGATCATACTGACCATTTTTTCCTACTTCATTCAAGAAATACTTTTAACAATTATAGTATGAGATTGGTGTGACATTAATCTAGTCTTCGATAGAGAACGAATTGCTCTTCGTTTAACATGTGCCATCTAAAATATTACATCTGTCAAAATGTCAACCAAAAATAATTAGTTTGAGTTCAATAGTCGATGAAAGCAATACACTTTTGTGGTTTTTGAAGAATGGAAAAATTTGAATAACATTCAGTGGTTTGAGTACTTTCACCTGAAATGTGAGTCTGCACCATTATTTTGAAAAGCTAACCTCTGTTCATGGTAGAAAGTGTGTTTGGTGAAAACAGAGTCCACTCTCACATCTGAAACGAAAGAAAAATCAAAGCAGTGAACAAAAAAGCCAAAGGTATATTGAAGAAAGCCGTTTTTTGGGATGTGAAAGGCGTTATTCACTGTATTTGATTAATTGGAAATAGGTAAAACAATAATAAGCAGCTGAATCGTACCATTTCGATGCCAAGTTGTTGAAAGAACGGCGCGGTTTGACTAGCAAGAAAGTTTTCTTTCATCAAAATAACGAACCCACCCACAGTGGGTTCTCACTCTTCCCAACGAGCATTGAGGCCATAACCAAAAAAAAAATCGTTAGCTATCTTAGGCTAGATTATTGTCAAACTACCTTCGGGTAACCTTTCTCATCCAATAGGTACATACAATCTCGTTTGTGATTTGTGTACCTGAAAACGTAGTTGATGCTGGCAAATGAGAACTTTGCTTTTATTTGTCTGGGCAATGAAGTTTAAATATTTTAAAAGTTGACATGTATAATAATGAATACCATAAAAAATTTACTATTGACAATTTTCAAAGTGTTCTCAGTAAAATTAAATTAAAACTTTATCGTATAAATATGTCATGCAAGTTGTCTATAAGAGAATACACATTTAGTTAACATATCTTCAAATATCAAGTATAATTACCAAAATGTATATGTATTTCAAAAAATTTTAGACACACCACCGAAAGCCACCAATCCAGGAACCTTTGAGAATCTTGTTAATGGAATAATATCCTCAGAATCTATGACAAATCTGGAAAATGAAAATCATATCTTGGTAGAGAATGATGAAGATGGGACTAATGTTTCCAAAACGAATTTTGATAAAAAACCTTTAACTCAACCAGTTTCTGCAGGAAGCAAAAACATTCTGAACATATCAAATGACACAGGACAGCAACCTGGCGAGAGTTTAATTCATAATGGTTCACCTTGTATGTCTAGCGATGGTGACAGTGAGTGTAGTTTTGAAACTGTTAAACTTTCCAACAATGATTCACAGTCTCCTTGCAAAACTTCCGAAAAAGGATCCAGAATATTGAAAATTCCTGTTGATATAGATGAATCGACTAATGACTCTGATAAGTACTCATCTGGGTCAAGTTATACTATTGACAGTTTTATGCAAATAACCAAAAAAAATAAATCATCTAAAAATATATCTTCATCACAGGATCTCGATAGCTCTTTCAACTCACAAGAACATGTAGAAAAGCATTCAATAGAATCTGATTCTGGTAATATTACGAATAGTCAATCTTCAACATCTGCTGATAGTACTGATATATCAAATTCTTCATCGAGTGAAAGTACCTTAGCTAACTCATCTGTTGAAGAAGTGACAACAGAGTGTATTACAGATAGCACATTAGTTGATAAATTGGATGAGACTACAGTCACCAGCATATTTGACAATAAATCTGGGTTACCTACGTTGATTAAGCGTACAGATAATCAATGCTCACAAACAAAAGATCCTTTCATTGAAATTATCACCTCTCCGGTTTCTACCAGCTGTGATTCTGGAAATCCACAGTCTGATATCCTTGAAAATTTTTCAGCATATCAGTATGGCAGTAGAACTGAAGAGAAGAAACAAAAAGAGTCTGATTCTAAAAAGCTACCGAGTGAACCAAATTCAGAGGGTTACATAGAGTCTGCAACTGCTAATATTCCTCATTATTCAGAAAATACAAATATGGAACATCAGGAGAATAAAAATGATAGGGATGGTGAATTGTCTGCTATTGATAATGAAATAAATTCTTATGAACAAACAGAAAATCTAAATAGTCACAATGGCAAAAATGAACATGCAAAAGAGACGGCCATGAAAAATTCAGATGAGCATACAAAAATGACAAGCTCTGAGAAAAAATGTCCTGATAGAAGTGATGTCAGTAAAGAGGGAAAGGATAGTTCCATTGATACTTTGAATTATCCTGATGACCAGGCTGAAAGACTCACAAGTAGAAAAAAAGTGGAATATCTGGGTTGTGGAAATGAAGATACAAATTCTACATATGACAAAAGCAATTATCTTAATAAAAAAATCTCTGAAAATGAAAATTCTGATTCAACAGATAATATCGAGGATGGAATCGTTGATGATATATTTTTCAAAACACCCGATGAGTCTCTTCAAAATGATGACAATAAAAAAAGTTGTGAAGATTCTGAGTCTTCAGATAATGAAATTTATTTTCAACCCACCCAAAAGATATCTGAAACATCATATATTCATTTAGGTTTTGATGAAGATGAAGCAACCCAGGTCATAACTACGATTGAACAAACAGAAGCAGGAAGTATTGATAAGCAAAACAGTCAGAGAGTGTCTGCTGGAGAAAATAAAGATGTTGCAAATGACACCAGTAACGTATATTATTTGGCTACTCAAAAATTATCTGATACAGACACTAGTAATGTAGAAAATGAAGGTAACAGAGATCATTCCAAGTCGGGTCAAGATTCAATAGAACCTGATGTGAATGAAAGAGAAGATGATATTAGCAATCCTTTTTCTGTGGAAACAGTAAAATGGGATTCAGATGAAGATACTAATATCTCTGACAGTCAATCCTTCACGGTATCAGATCTTTTGAATGAACACAATTACAGTTGTGCTTCTATTTCAGACATTGACGACCCTGCAAAAAATGAAAAAATCGTTCAGAATCCTGAAATAGAAGATAGTGATTCTAGAGAAACTGATAACAAAGTATCAGATAAAGTAAACTCGGAACTTGAAATAGAGGACAGCGATTCTGACACTATAAATCGGAATTGTAAAAATGAGACAGATGAAAATAACATAGTTTCTCCAAGTTTCTCCTCACGAGAAAATGGAAGTGATGAAGAAGATTGTCAAAAGTCACTTTCTGATTCATTGGACATTATTGACACAAGCTACATACACAGTGAACATAATTATAGTTCCGGTGGATCTCCAGGTGTCACCGAAGATGAAGATATAGTTAACAGATTTGCAGGAGGGTATAATCAAGCTAAAGGTAATGATAACGATAGTGACGAAACTGACATAGATAGAGAAATGAATTTCAATAAAGATTTTGTCAGTGTATGTGAGGACAAGAATTCAGTAGAGAAAAAAGACTTGGCTAATCTGGAGGAAATACCGGACAGTCAGGAAGAGTTTTCCCTCTCGCAGCAGAGTACCAAATCATATGAATTTGACATCAGCGAAAATGTCAATAATTTAGGTAATTTTTCCATTACTGAATGACTAGATTAATAACTCTGTTGGTTGGTGGTATAACTACGCTTTTCATATGCCTGTGCACGTCATAACATGAAAATAATTGAATAGCAATATTTTCATTAGCAGTGAAATAGTAGCAAATTTGTAAAAATCTTATAAGATATATAATTTGTATTAAGAGATCACAACGAATTGAAAAATATATGTTTATAAGAGATCATTATTTTTAGCATAAACAGCATCATTGTTGATTAACGTAAAAATTTTTTTTGTTCAAAATTAAAGACAGTTTTTGTTTTGTGTCCTATACAGGATGTAACTGAATTAGTGTAAAACATAAAATACAGTTAATACTTTTCTCAAATTAGTGGGATATGAAGAATGATCCTTTCGTCTACGAAACAGAAGATGACATTTTGTTGCATCATAGCCCTCGCTATGTTTATCAGAGTTCTTACTTTGCATCATCTTGTCCTTTGAGTTGTATAAACAAAGTCACTTGTGTCTTTTTTTTTTAATTTGATCTAAACATTAGTATATCATGTTTTAAATTGAATATCAATAAACTTTTATTCATCTTCTTTTTAACAAGTCGAACATTTATGAAGACATCATCTAAATTTATTTTTGAATTATGTATGCCACCATTTTTTAATATGGATAATAGTGAGACATTCATAGTCCCACCATTCAACCAAACAAGTTGGCATGCTGATGACATCAACTTTACTGGTTAAACACGTGTTGAGAAGAGTATTACAGTCTGGTGTGTGGAAAAATGTTTTTTTTTTGGATTGTGTGAAATAGTTTATGCCTTAGTGTTTTTCTTTTTCATTAAATCTGATGCAATTCCACAATTTAAAAAAAATCACTGTTGTTTAAATTCAGAATAGAATATTTGTAAAAATGACTTTTCCCCACAGTTTTGTATGGGCATGATCATTACTTTTGAACAGTTATAAAATGATACAAAATATATAAAATTTTAACAAGTTTACAGTGTTCAAGAATCAATAAATGATTATTCACCCTAGTATTCGAGGCATGTAGTTATTCATTTTGTTTGTCAGATGCATGATATCAAGTAACAGTGTAGCATTAGCAGATCATAAATTATCGCATGACATACCCCATATGGAGTAAAGAAAATTTGATACCTATCCCTAAAATTATAATTTTATAATAATTTTTGAAAATTTCAAGTTTACTGGTATAGCCATCCAATTTATGCAATAGGATTAACCTTAAATTCAATGAAAAAATAATAATTTCAAATAAANATGTGCTAAAACATTTAGAACGCTAGATGCAAGATTATATGAAACTGGGAGTTTTAATAAAAATGCAGGTGATGGAAGACCGGAAACTGTAACAACGCCTGAACTAGATGAACTATCACAGCGGGTCCAAGCTCTACTGCCTCGGGATTTTCACCCAAGATTAATGTTCTGCAGGTGGTTGATTCATACGATGGCATATAATAATATTTTAACAAATATTTCATTTACGGACGAATCAAATTTTTCACGGTATGCTATATTATGAACTTTCACGATAACCACTTTTGGGCCGACGAAAATTCTCACGTTTTTAGAGAAAGTCATTTTCAGCAACAATTTTCGCCGAACGTTTGGGAAGGATTAATTGGTGACTACCTCATATTCCCATTTTTTTTTACCAGCAAGATTAACAGATGAATCCTACACGGACTTTTTGCGAGATCATTTACCCATTTTGTTAGAAAAAGTGGCGGTACTTGTTAGAGACAACATGTGGTTTATGCACGACGGGGCTTCAGCTCATTTTAGTGTTCTTGCTCGTCAATTTCGACATAACCTACCCTAATCGCTGGATTGGACGTGCAGGCAGGACCTCAAAATTGACCAGCTCGCAGTCCTGATATGAATAATTGACTACACTGAATAATCAAACTTCATTTTATTTCACTTTAAATACAACAAACACTTCAATTAAAAATTCAACTATTATTTTAATGTATCGCCTTACTAGATCACTTGGCATACCACAGTGTTACGTCCACTTCACTGTGTACTTGACTGTCTGAATACGCTTGTAGCCAGCGTTCAAATAACGCAATGGAACAGCGTAGAATTTCGCCGAAGTTCTATGGACATCGGTAGCATGTTTCTTGCTCTTTCTCGAGCGGCAGGTAACATTGAATAGTCCCATGCTCGTCATGCTACGCCATGCTACGTCACGTTTGGTTTAAGGTTACCAGTGGCGGTTGGCGTTATTTACAACAATATTTTGGAATGGCTCACTACCACATAAACTATGGAATACTGATATGTGGTGATTCCTCACATGCAAATGAGTCATAACTGTTGTATTGTGAGATTTTTTTCTTATGCACTGAATGTTAATTATTCATATTTTCTGTAGGATGTACCTAAGCATATTTTGTTATTGCGGAAATTTTCGACTGTAACAGAAATTTTAATTTGAGGTCAATAAAATTTCTTTCTTTCTTTGTTACTGGACCTAATAATTTCAATCTCAATCGGGCAAAATAAGCGCCTCATTACTTCAAATAACTATAGCAAATTCCANATGATCATCATTACTTTGTTGCCTGGGCCCATAACCTGTTGGAAATGCAATGAGGGCAGTGCAAAAGTGTAATTACAATAAGCCTGAGTTACTTCTAAACGTTATATTGAACATATCAATAATTTATATATATTATGATGAACTTGTATCTGACAGTCATTCATATACATACAAAAATGTCAAACAATAACTGAAAATAAATGATTGATGTACAATACAGGGTGTGTTGCATTTTCAATTACCAACAATTTTGATAGGCCTTTTTTAAGTGGGCTTGTTTTTGACGGCCTCTGTTTTTTTGCAGGTCACTTCAATAAAAACATCGGTAAAGTCTATTTTGTAAAGAACTTTTATGCAATTATTCTCTGTAATATATCGAAGGCAGCAAATTTTTCTTCAGGGAATGTTATTGAAATTAAGGAAATTAATATTATTTGAAAATCCTTTGAAATCTAAAAATTCATCAAACGTCAAAACTTTACAGTAAAAGGACATGGTGCGATACGTGCATCTCTTATAAGTTGCGCCCACCCCTCAGGGGTATAAACGGGTACATATCTTGCCTTCTTCTCTATTTTCGAGTGAATGGAGTCACACTCCATTTCAGTGTGCCCTGTTTCGAAAAACCGATGATCAGTTACTTTCAATGATGGATGTTCTGCCAGAAGTTGGATGCACATGGCTGCAAATATTGAATATTTTTGCTGGCCTCCACAGCCGTCAGACATCATATGCACTGCTTCGATCTCAGAATGGCTCATAATATAATCACAAACACAGGATGAAATTTCGTTAGCCCCTCTTTCCCTTTGTTTCGTCCCACAAGTAGCACATAACATTTTGGTTTCCTAAATTATAGATTGTGAAATTATACACCGCTAGTTTCCTTAAATAAAATATTTGTCCAGCGCATCCTTTGGGAGTTGTTAACACTGCCTGCAAATCAAAATTTAAAGCCAAGACCTTGGGATTCTCTTTTGCTATTAACTTGTCCACATCGCGGGCTTGTCTAGCTTCATTTTTTCTATTGAGATGTTTTTGATACGGTTCGTCTTCTACCCTTTTCTCTCCTTCAGACATACTTTTGTATGCCAAACATTTCTTACATTGGTCTTTTTTTGGCTTAAAGAAGCCTAAGTTGTATTCGGAAAATATCTGGTGATATTTCTCAAATGTAACAATTTTCACATTTTCAGTGCTGCACAACTCTTTGTACATCCTGTACATAATTGATACATTAAGAGATAGGTCAAGGTACTTCTTTTTACTAGATTGACGACAATAATGCGATTCTACCGCTGGAAAGGATAGAATCTGGTGGTAATTTGTTTGATGGTTGATGTTTCCCGCGTTTATCTGGTTCTAAAGCTTCATTGGAAGAGTGCTTGTTTGCGGCACTTCGCATAAAGGAGTCTGTCACATTTAATGTGGCCATAAAAAATGCTCTACACACTGTAAGTTTATTTCCATCAACCGTAAGACTGGAATTTTCGATACCTCTTGTCGTCCGTTTCTTTGTTTTTTTTTCAATGTGATTATACAGAAATTGTCGTTGATCGCCAATGCAGCTCAAATTGCGAAAATTATTATAAACCCTTATTCGGTTTGGCTCGGTAACTGAAGCTGCACATTTATGTTTTGGTTTATTGAGACAAGGTACTGGCAAAAGAGAACGTGAAGGTTTCTCGATTCCCCTATGACCAATGTAAGACTCACCTCTGAGCCTTTTAACCTTCCTTACATTTTTCTTCCATAATTTCTCGTTTCTCTTTTTTTAGTAGATACCTTTTCACGGTCAGGAAAATCCTCAACATCACTTTCCCATGAGCTCTCATTTTCTATATCTGACGAACCTGAAGGTTCATAGAGATCCGAAGAAGATCTAGAAACATACGAGTAATCTTCTTCCAGTGTTCCTGGTAAAGCTGGAGGCAGATCATCAGGTTGGACAACCAGGCGAGATGTTGACGGGTACTGATTTAATTCACTGNACGTGTTGAGAAGAGTATTACAGTCTGGTGTGTGGAAAAATGTTTTTTTTTTGGATTGTGTGAAATAGTTTATGCCTTAGTGTTTTTCTTTTTCATTAAATCTGATGCAATTCCACAATTTAAAAAAAATCACTGTTGTTTAAATTCAGAATAGAATATTTGTAAAAATGACTTTTCCCCACAGTTTTGTATGGGCATGATCATTACTTTTGAACAGTTATAAAATGATACAAAATATATAAAATTTTAACAAGTTTACAGTGTTCAAGAATCAATAAATGATTATTCACCCTAGTATTCGAGGCATGTAGTTATTCATTTTGTTTGTCAGATGCATGATATCAAGTAACAGTGTAGCATTAGCAGATCATAAATTATCGCATGACATACCCCATATGGAGTAAAGAAAATTTGATACCTATCCCTAAAATTATAATTTTATAATAATTTTTGAAAATTTCAAGTTTACTGGTATCGCCATCCAATTTATGCAATAGGATTAACCTTAAATTCAATGAAAAAATAATAATTTCAAATAAATGAGATCAAAAACATTGAATTTTTTTTCTATTTCTTCTTATTGTTAAGTATCTTTCTCTTAATACTGAATATAATAATAAGTGGTATTCTTAGCCAATTTTGACTCAAAATACAACACAACACTTCTTACTTCAATTACATTTCATAATTATTTCATTTGTTACTATTGCTTCTATCTTTGTTGTTTTGCTCTTGGAAATATTCTTCGAACTAGTCTGCTCTGCTTTATCGCTTTATCTGCCCATATTTATATATACGTCAGTGTATTCTCGCGAAACATTTTTAGCCTCTAGTTTATTCATTTACGTTTGTTTGGTATACAAGGTGTTTCCTGACTACAATACGAAACTTCAGAGGGTGATTCGTTAGGTTGTTTAAAAAAAAAGGTTCTTATGAACCTTTGTCCAAAGTTGATTCGTTTGTGAGATATATGGCGTTGAAGTTTGAAAAAAACGATATTTATAAAATATCATGAATATCATGATAGCAAGTAAACATCGATCGTTCAGCTTGCGGCTTGAACCACCGACTCACACTTCGGTCGATTGAAAGAGTAAAGCACCCACGTCGAACCGTCCGGCTACCTAAGTAATGAGGCCCCTCCTAGGCCCTAACTAGATTGAAATTACTAGGTCCAGTGGAATCTTAGTGGACACCACAGACAACAATATTGGGAAAGAAAACTACGCCACTGACTTGTTGTTCTTTTTAAAGATAAATCAACTAAAAATGCAACTTTTTCGTCGCTTGGGTTTTCTTCATATCTAGCTTCGTTTTCGAGAAAAAAAATTGAAGCCACTTTGCATATCATGAACATCTGCTTTGAAGACCAGCTGACAGTGTTGTCATATTAGTGAAAGTCAGATTTGTCAATAGCAGTGATGTCATCATGAATAATTTTACTAATGCTGAAAAGGCTGACATGCACTTTATTTATGAATTAGCAAATGGAAATGAGAAAGAAGAACGGATAATTCACCAGGACAGATATCTCAACAATTCAATGTGCTAAAACATTTAGAACGCTAGATGCAAGATTATATGAAACTGGGAGTTTTAATAAAAATGCAGGTGATGGAAGACCGGAAACTGTAACAACGCCTGAACTAGATGAACTATCACAGCGGGTCCAAGCTCTACTGCCTCGGGATTTTCACCCAAGATTAATGTTCTGCAGGTGGTTGATTCATACCTAGATCCCCCTTTCC